AACCTAATCTAAACAAATTACAAGAATTTAACAAACTAAACTATTACACCGAAAGTGTGTAATTTCCGAAATATTAAACAACCAAACTAACTAAAAACGTAAATAAACACACGGAAATTACAAACGTATCAGATTATTACCATCAATTTTTCTTAATAATTTTAAATTGGAAAAAAGTTACTCTCAAGACAAAAATCAAATTCAAATTCTCTCCCATCTTGTTGTTCCAGACTTGCAGTCACAAGCTCCAAGCCAACTCCTCCAAGAATAGTCGCCGAACCATGGATGCCACTCCTTTGCTGCGAGGGTCGAAGTTGTTGCGTAATACACGGACTATCGGATTGGAGCTCCATCTCCCGTCATAAGTTGCTAGTCGGACAACTCTGGATCTCTGGCATGAAAGGTGCTGCCCTAAGAACGGGTGACAGGCGGTGGTTGGCGGCTGGGCGGCATTGTAAGACGGCTGGACAACAAGCGGCGGCGGCTGGACAACAAGCGGCGGCGGCTGGACATTGGTACAGAGATGGGGATGGATAGGTTACCATTAGGGTTGGTAGGATGATTGGGTTTTATAATAATAAACAAAAGGACATATTAGTCCATATAAAATATTTATTTAATTATTTATTAATGTATTAATTAAATATGACGAATTTTAGTATTATTTTGGTAAAAAAAAACTTATTAGGTCATAGATTAAGAAATTGATGGAGTTTTAGTCACACCTAGGGTAATTATTTCAAATTAATAATCCAACCTTTTAGCGGTCTTCTTTTAATACTCCGACCTTTTTGTTATTCATGAATAATCCAACCTTTGCACCTCATCTTCATTCATTGGTCCTCGACCGGTTTATGACCTGCTATTCCGAGTTATTTTCTTATCTCTGCAAACTATTATACCATAAATTCCACCTTTCACAAAGATAATATTTTGCAAAGATAAGAAATTAACTTGGAATAACAAGTCATCAACCGGTCGGGGACCAGTGAATGAAGATGAGGTGCAAAGGTTGGATTATTCATGAATAACGAAAATATGGGACTATTAAAAGAAGACCGCTAAAAGGTTGGATTATTAGTTTACATTTTCCCAAATTATTAATTGGACTGATTTGCGCAGAGTATATATGTTGAAAACTTGAAACACGCACTACCTTGATTCTTCTTCCATTCGTCCCACCTCATTCTTCCTTTTTTTTTAAAATTTTTAAGATTTGGTTTTATATTGAATTTAGGGTTTGTGAGCATTAGATATGGGCATTGAATACCATCATTGAACATTTCAATAAGTGCGGAGTATTGATAGTAAATATATATGGTCAGTATTGATACCATCATAGACATGTTGTACATGGCAGTGAACGAATGCATTAAGAAATTTTGTTGTGCAGTGATTATGATCAGTATTGCAGTAACACAAAGCAATGATATCACCATCAAATGCAATATACTTAATTAAACGTAAAATAATAAAATTATTAAATTTTTTTTAAAAAAATCCTCAATTGAATAAGAAGAGAATTAATTTTAGGGGAAGTGCAGTGATTATTACCGGATGTGCAGTAAAGTCATGCATTAATTTTGTGCATTCACGGCAATATAAAGTGCAATAACTTTAATTGGACGAAATTAGTCAAAATGCCATTATTTTAAATAAGGGTATTTTTGTCATTCAACATTTAAATATAAACAAATTTTCTATTTGTTTTTGGATTTTTGGTCATACAACGGTATAAAAACTAGTTAGGTCATAGATTGAGAAACTCATTGACTTTTAGTCATATCCTAGTAAATTTCCCTAAATTTAGAAATTACTTCAAATAGAACTAAAACTATGGCAAAAACTCAAAATAGGACTTGGTATGTTTTTTATTCCAAAATAGGACTATAGTGGTCCTATTGGAAATATACCCATTTCTTCCTTCCATTTTTACCCCTCCTTTAAATATTAGTAAAAGATAGCTAAAAATCATAATTAAATGTTTAATTCATAATAAATCCGAAAAAATTTCAATAATTCGTAGAAAAATAAAAAAAAATTAATAAATTTTTTATAAAAATAAAAAATAAGAAACAAAAATTTCTAATTTTTTTTTTGAAAATTAATAAAAATAGTAAAACTCCATTAAAAAAATTAAAAAAAATATGGATACCTTTCCCACCGCCTGTACTACCTCCCTGAACCACCACCTCCGATAGGTGTAAAAAATGCCACTTTTTTTTAAATTCCACAAAAATGACATATTTCTTTATGAGAATGCCAACTTTTTCATTCTGTCAACTTGAATCCTTTTGACTTTTGTCAAAAATATGGCATTCATAATTTTTTTTGGCATTTTTTTACCCCGGTGACAGGAGGTGGTGGTACTGCTTCCCTGCACCACCACCTCCGACCGTTAAAAAAAATGCCATATTTCCTACAAACTTCCATTTTTTTCGGAAAATGCCAAAAATATGGCATATTTCTCTTTGACAATGCCAACATTTTTTTCCTATCATCTTAAATCATTCTGAATTATGCCAAAAATATGGAATTCATAATAAATTTGGCATTTTCCCCCAAATGACTAGAGGTGGTGGTGCTGGGGCGGCAGAGGCGGCGGCGAAATTTTTTTATTTTTTTATTTTTTTATTTTTTTATTTATTTATTTTTTTTTTAATTTTTTTTTTTAAAATTTATTATTATTCAAAATATTTTTTATGAATTTTTTGTTATATTTTACGAATTTTTATTATTTTTTATTATTTTATTATGAATTAAAACATTCCAATATGTATAAGGGTATATTTGTCCAAGACACACATAATTAGTCCTATGAAAACATAGTTTATTTTTTGGTCTTATTTGTGCAAAGTGAATGACTTTTAGTCCGATAATTAACTCATTATAAATACATCCACGAATTCGAGATTTGCCCGGCATCAGGGGTGGAGACAGGGAGGGGCTGGAGGGGGCCTCGGCCCCTGCAAGAAAAAAAATTCTTAAGTATATATTATGTATAAATACTTTTAATCTATAGAAAATATGTCGAGATTTTAAACTTTGGCCCATGCAATGTAAAATTTTTAAGGACCGGCCCCTTTTGATATTTCTGACTCCGCCGCTGCCCGGCATTGTCTATTCATTCCTAGAGCAGAGGCTTATTCGACGTACGGATCTTAGTTTGGCGGTGCAATTTTGTTTGCCTTAAGATACTAAATCATTTTTGTATAAATCCATATTTAAATAAAATAAATAAATAAAAAATCCATATTTAAAATTGATATCCATAGCACGACCTGTTATTTTGTACACTGTGTTCTTATGTACATGAGGAGAAGAGCAATTTCGCGTGTCATAAAAGAAATGCAGTAAATATTTGGATTACTTGACGCCTAGATGACATTAAATAGAAATGTACTATTTTAGTTATTAAAGTAGCTAAAAATGTATATCAAAAAAAGATAGTTAAGATTTTTTTTCGAAAAACAGAAAGTAGGTTAACTTATTTTTACTTTTAAGTGTTTTTAGGATTTATAAATGTGTTCTGTTAAGTCTTAACTCTATTCAAAACTGAGTTAAAACTTAACATTTCTGAGCGATGTTACCAACCGCTTCAACATATGGAATAGATTTCTAGAATGCAACGGAACCGTCCGTATGAATATTTGACATTTTAGCGGAAATGCACTAGGATTGTCGGGGGGGGGGGGGGGGGGGGGGGGCTGGTATTCATCCGGATCTCAAGCTTGGATGCTTCAGCAATTTCCATCTTCAGCCCAAGGACTTGGTTGTCCTCCTCTCCGTTGATTATGATTCAGGTTGGCGACCTCTTCCTATAGTTTAGCGGCATGCTTAGCCTTTCATTGGAGTATCCTCACCATACGATGGAGATTGGCCAGGACCTCCTTGACTTCGACCTTCCCGCCAAAGGCGCTAGTGTTGAAGTTAACTTCCTAAGCTAAAATGTTCAACACAACACCTTTCGTGGGTGGTCGATTCAGAAGTTCAGAATTATAAGATGAATGCAAAATTCAGACGTATCTGGTTTACATAAATGAAAAACTCTTACAATATGCTCAAGAAGAAATTCTTAAGTATTTTGCTCTAGGGATTGCTGAGGAGCAACCCGTAGTGTGAGTTATGAGGGGTATTTATGTAACCACAGATAGTTGGACATGGTGATGTGCCGCCTCCCTAATGGTCATCTGTTCCATCACCCATATTATGTCATATATTCGCATTAAATGTTCTTCCTGCCAATTCTATGTTTCCTGCCAATTATCTCGGCATGGGCCTCTTCATCCGCTGGCAACACTTGCACAAGTGGAAAAATCATTCAACTTCCAAATCAAGTTGAGCTTCCGCTCATAGCGATCAAATGTGGATGCTATAAGGCTCGCCTTTTCGTAGGTACTGCTCGGCCCAATTGGGGAGCCCCCGAAACCTCCTTTGATTCTCCCTTCGAGCGTCTTAGGATTCCCGATCCCGCTCGACTTCAAGTGTGCACCCACTGCACCCGGTATCTCTCCCTATTTGTTTGGGAAGTAAGGCAAGGCGTGACTTAATGGTTGTAGGCCGGCCTATTGTTCGGGTGGCCCAATACCTCAACATTCAACTATGATAATCAAAATTTGGAAATATGACATATGAAAAGAAAACAATTAAATATGATGTACTTCGTAGGGGTGAGATCGGTCCGGTCTGGGTCGGATTTTTGCTAAACTCGGAAAATTACTCCGTATTTGATCAAGAATTTACTCAAAATATGAGTAAAACTTCTAAAATAAAAGTAATAAAGTATTAAAAAAACAAAAATTGGGACCAATATGTGGTCATGTGGATGCACTCATTCTACTATTCTGAAAAAAACATTAGGAAGGACAATATTGAATCACCCCACATCATCTCTTTTATCTTCACATGCACTCATTCTACAGTTCTAGTAACACACCTTTTAATGCCCAAAGAAATTCCCATTTTAGATTTGGACCTTCAAAATACTTCCACCCCCACCCCACACCCACCCCTTTCTTCTCTCTTTTTCTGGTCCTCTACACCGATTCCTCTGCAAATGAATTCCAGCCGTAAGATTCCCCACAATTTCAACCCCTTTCGTTCATTTCCACTAAACTAATAACTCCCCATGGAACAATATCCCCATCATGTATATATGTCAGTGAGTGACAAATTCATATCCTCTTCTACTTAGTGTTCTGTGTTCATCATCCTCTGTTTTTCATGTCTGCTCCAAAACAAAGCTCTGAAGAAAATGGTGAGGAAGTTGGCAGGAAAGAAGACAATGATAAGTTCAGAAGGGAAGAGATTAAAGACGCCATTGCTAAAGCTGTGGAGCTCCGGGCTCTCCACGCCGCTCTTGTGCAGGGCGGCGGCAGCCCTGCCGCGGCGGCGAATCTGAGATTTTCTTTAGCTTCCCCTGTTTCTTCTCATCATCTTCATCCTCACTTTTCTGCTCTAGATTACCCTGTTTTCACACCTGTAAGTCTTTCCCACCCTCATTCTGTTTTCTTTTTCCAAAAAAAAAAAGATATCTTTATGAGTCAAACTGATCTAGATATCTTGAATTATGTGGACATTAGTTTATGCATTAACATAATTACATTATTAATGTCCATTATTGTTAAGTGAGGAGTAAGTCCAATGTATTGAACAATAATACAATATTGTCTGCTTCTCAGTGGCGACTTCCTTATTCCTTCTATCACATGTGTGCATTTTACAATGCACATTTTTTAACTTTATCTCTTTCTTAGAAATTATTTATAGATGATACTTAAACAAAAATTACTCCATTAGTAAGGATCTTTAGGGGCTTAGCATTAGCATGGCAGGGGAATATTGTAGTGAAAATTGAAAAGTAGTAAAGTACTTTTTCCTTTTAGAAGAGTTTCCCTTTTAAATAAATTCAAACTTTTATAAAGTGAATTAACAAACACTCCATAATAAACAATCAATCATGTTTCATGTAACGTTTTTTATATACTACGTATGTCATTTTACACGTTTGTCGAATTGTCTATGCAAAGACACTTTTTTTCGTTTTATTAAGAGAATTATATTTTCGCATCAACAATCTTTTTGTCGGTGCAAAAAAGAATTGTTTGTGTACAGATAATTCGATCGACGTGTAAAATGACATGTATAATAAACGTGTATAAACCACATTTTGCATAAACAATAGTCTTCATTGTTTTCAACTTCTCATTTTCAATCTATCGTACATTTTCTGCTTACCATTGTCATTATTGTGAGAATCGAACGTGGCCTTGCAGTTTTTTTTCGCGTGTAGATCGGATAGGACATGGTCACCTAGCACTTTTAAAAAGTTATGAACTTTACCACACTTACGACAAATGACTCAATTGACCATTTTATATGTTTATATATTACACCTCCAATTCTATGTAATTGTTTATTTCGGTTCCTGAATTCTTTGTAATACTCTTTTCGAGCCAAATACTTGTAGTTAATAAGTCATAACATGTTGTTTTACCATTTTAATTTAAGACATTAAAAACATTGTAAATCATGGGAAAAGGTTTATGAACAAATACATCTGCACTGCATGCGTAGTAAAAAGCTTCAATAAAAACATTGTAAATTATGGGAAAAGGGTAATAATTTTTATAAGATTAGATACAACATTGTGTAAAAGTTTTATGTAAATTGCTGGACTTGTAATTATATTTTCAATTAACAAATAAATATGATCTGATGGTGTATAAGTGAATTTGATTGACATCAAATAAGTAAATTAATAAAAAAAAATGTTTCAAAAAATCAATAGATTTGCTCCCTAAGATTTTTGGTTATGATTTATAATTACCTCATACTACGTATATGTGAAGGGTTTGTGACTCTTTTTTGTTTTTAAATATAGGAACGCCCCCAATTAAATATTGGTGTTTGTTACTCTCTTAGTATAAATTTCATCTATGGGAAAATAACTACCAAATTCAATGGATGGAGCACCAATGCATCTTTTCAAGTGCTAACATTTTATGTTCAGTTAATGCTGTAGATCTTTTATGAGGCCGTTTGGCAACACTGTTTTTCGGCTTATCAGCCAACTTTTTCACCAAACACGTAACTTCTGCTTTCGCGCGCTGAATTGTGTAATAAGCCGAAAAAGTAAGGTTGAAGTTACTTTTCTGGTTGTATTGGCTGAAGTTACCGTAGATGATCACTTTAGCTATTTTTCCATATAATTTTTTCTGTATTTTATTACTCCCTCCGTTCCGCTAAGATTGTCCCATTTTACCTTTTTGGGAAGTCCCACTAAGATTGTCCCATCAAATTAGGTAAAGTTTGTGTGGCTCTAAATCATTTTTACTTTATTTTTACTTTTTCAATTCAATATCAACCACGTAAACTCACTTTTCTTAATAATCGTGTCACCTTCTGTCGCAATGTTAATGGGACGGAGGTAGTAATAAATTACTACCTCCGTCCCGTTGGAATGTTCCCGTTCGGTTTACGATGCTTGACTGACGATAAAGCAACTCGATCCCTGTTCACACTCCGCTTATTTTTAGTAAATAAAATTTACATATTCAGAAACTACATTAAAACCGCTACAAAGCTTGATCAAGAAAAGTTCAATTTGATAAAAACTTGATATATAAAGTAAAATATTAGGAGTGACCTAAGTTGACCAATGAATAGTGAACGGGAACATTCCAACGGGACGGAGGGAGTATATTTTAAAAATAATTTTTCCTTAAATCAGCAGAAACAGCCAATGCAGCCACTCCAGCCAGAACTTCATAAATTTCAGTAGAATCAACCAAATCAGTCGATTTTCGTGCTACCAAACGGGCTCTATGTCCAATTTACAAAACAGACACTATAATTCCTTGTATACATGAAAGTTTTTATATATAAATAAAGTATACATGAAAGTTGAATAATCACATTTTATATGAACCATATTTATTGGGTTTTAACTTATAATTACATACTTCGTATGTTTTTTTTCATGACCAAGAAATGCTGCACTTGTAAAACTGTCATGTAGTATGTATCATTCATTCATTTGCACATTTATTTTAGAATATTTGTTAAACATATGCATTCTTTTGACATAGTCAAGTACTCAAATAGATACATAATGCATGCACTTGATGCATCACAGTATGTTTGGAGTGGGGTTGGTAGAAATTCATCATTTGTCTTTTAAAGGTAGACTTTCAAGTTTCAATTAGTTCTCACTATTCCTCGTATACCGTTCTCATTCAATATTTCAATGCAGTTTTCTATATTTAGAAATACGCAGTATCTGTTTTGACAAACAGAAACAAATAATTCAACGCATCAATAATTCTGCTATTAATGTTTTTGCAAAATTGACTTTAATAATGATAAGGGAGAAATATAGTGAGTAGGATTAGTAGGACGGAGAGAAAATGGCTGTCATTTTTGCCGGGACATAAAAACTTTTTAGTTAGTGATAAAAGCATAGCAACACAGTGATAAAAAATATAAGCTCAGTGACCAAAAAAACTTCCATTCCTTGGGTTGCTAGATTTATGTCACTAACTAGGTTAGTTTTTTGTTGGAACAAAACCAAAGTCTAGAGTTCATCCTACTTCATTTACCGGAGTAATATTTAAGTTTTGGTTACAGAGCATTGGTCTCAAAGAACATAGAAAAGTTAAATGTCCCAATATTTATTATTACGATTACCTGAAAATTGCATTTTTCCTTAAAACTTGAAACAATGGATCTTTACAATATCAGCTACATAGTCATTATTCCAAGTGCACATACATCTTTGGTTTGTTTTAGTAAAAGAGAAATAACTGCTTTAAGAAACCTTCCATATTTGTTCATGATCCATCCATTTGAGACTTGTTTTGACAGAGTTATGAAGATGAACCATTGCCCGGCTATAAACAGCTAGAAAGCCGAAGTTGTGCTGAAACTCCAGACGAATATAATCTCAGAGGAACAGAAAGTGGAAACGAATCGGTTTTATCAGATAATAACAATTACTATTGCCCAAAACCAAAACCTTCTTTAAGGAAGATGGCTACTACTCCCTTTGTCAATATGGGAGATTCACCTCAAAGTTTTTTGACTGACCAAACCTCACTCCCTCCCAGAGCTTCTCCAGCAGGTAACCATGTTATGCCACCACAATCAGACTCCCACTCTTCTGCTCAATCACAGCAGCCAAAGAACAAAGGGCTGATGTTCTCCTGGTTGTTTCCTCGGGTTAAAAAGAAAAGCAAGAGCGAATTTTCACCAATGAGGACAGAATCCGAGGGTGTCTCTCAAATCTATACTAATGACAACGATATCGGGTTCGCATCCATTGAAGCATTGAAGAAACAGCTAAAAGAAGCGAATGAGAGCAGAGATGCAGCATTGAGGGAAGTTGCAGAAACTAAGTCTTCTATAGCAGAACTAAGCGGGAAATTGGAGTACTTGGAGAGAAACTGTGAAGAACTAAAGAATGCCTTAATTGTAGCTGCAAAAGATCACTCCCAGCTCGGCAGCATGAAGCTTAAAAGTCTTCCGAGAATCGTGGACGGAGGAGGAAAATCGATGCCGGTGAGCGAGGAAGTAATGCTGGAGGGGTTCTTGCAAGTGGCATCGGAGGCAAGATTATCAGTTAAGCAGTTCTGCAAAACCCTAATTTCTCGAATTGAAGAAGCAGACGGTTCTAATTTATCTGATAACTTGAACCTTCTCCTTCAACCGTACAGATTAACCCTAAATTCGAAGTACTCAAAGGCGGTTCTGTATCATTTGGAAGCAATCATAAACCAGACGCTCTATCAGGACTTCGAGAATTGCGCATTCGTGAAGAACGGCTCACCAAAGCACTTAAACCCCGACGACGAACGCCAATCGCAATTCTCCTCGTTTGTGGCCTTGAGAGACCTTAGCTGGAACCAAGTGTTGAAGAAGGGGACAAAGTATTACAGTGAGGAATTCAGCAAGTTCTGCGATCAGAGAATGAGTTTTGTAATTACCGCTCTGAACTGGAACACGACATGGCCGGAGCAGCTTCTCCAGGCGTTCTTCGTCTCCGCTAAGTGCATCTGGCTTCTGCATCTGCTCGCGTTCTCATTTTCCCCGCCATTGGTGATCCTTAGGGTTGAAGAGAACAGGCCTTTCGAAGCTCCTTTCATGGAGGATGTTTTTGCGGATAGGCAGAGATCACAAGGTCCGGGTCGGGTTAAGGTCATGGTCATGCCCGGGTTTTACGTGCAGGATAGGGTGCTTAGGTGTAAGGTTATCTGTAGGTACAAATCTGCAACCTAAAACTCTAAAAGGGCTTGCAAAAAAAAAGGGCTTGCAAAGTTTCCATCAAAGTATAGGGTACCCTAAAAAAAGCACAAAAGTTTTAAAATCAGTTCCTTCCGCCCTATGATGGGTCCGGTTTCTCTACCCGGCTTTGGCAGTCAGGTGCACCGGAGTACATGTCACTCCCCTCCCTCCTGTTCTTACTACTATTGGATCTGTGCCAATCAGTGTGTCGTAGATAGAGGATCAACCCCCCCCCCCCCCCCTGATATGTGAATTTTTATATTTATATTTGACGCTTTAACGAGTATGTATGTATGTATGTTTCACGACAGTTAGTTAGAGCAATCTAGAAATCAATGTTTCAAAGTTTTAATCGAATTGATGGCTCATGCAGATTTAATTTTTTTGACATCGATATCATATTAAGGATGTTTTCTTTTGGACTGTTTTCAGTCCCAGACCAGACCAGACTTAAACAGACCAGACCAGACCAGACCAGACTTAAACAGACCAGACCAGACCAGACCAGACTTAAACAGACCAGACCAGACCAGACCAGACTTCCGTAGTTATAAAATACACAGAGACCAGACGTTTACCAGACCAGACCAGACTAGTTCAGACCAGACCAGACCAGACCAGACTTAAACAGACCAGACCAGACCAGACCAGACTTAAACAGACCAGACCAGACCAGACCAGCAAATTTCACTCCAAAAGAAAACATCCTAAGACTTATATGAGTAGTCACAACCTTTTATATACGAGTTTGTATGCTAATATTTGGTCGGTATGAGATGACTTAACATGACCGGGATGTAATGGCCACCTAATGTGCAAAGTGTGTGATGGTTTCAATAAGAATATTTTCTTTTAGACTTTCATAGTTATATATTATACAGAGACCAGACATTTACCAGACTAGACCAGTTTAGACCAGACCAATTCAGACCACATCATTAAATTTCAGTCCAAAAGAAAACATAATAAGTTCACCACAACTATGTTAAGAGTTGTTGGATAGTTTTATTCAATATAGCATCGACATGGAATTAATGATAAGTTCTTGAGAGCATTGGGTCAAACATTTCGAAGACTTGCTGTAGTTGCCATTTGTGGTCATGGATATGAAACTCAAGCATGGCTTTTACTGCTGACTATGTGTTGAAATTTGAAAATGTGTTGCTTTAGTACATTGGTGTCGCATATTCAATAGTGCACAGACACAAAGCACATAAAGTTGTTGATTTTGAACTCACGGGCCAAAATTGGTCAAAAATACAATAATTGTAGGATCAAATCTCAAAGGAAATCGTTTCAAAACTTACAATTCCAATAACTTAAGCATTGCAAATAATTGTCCAGAAAAAAAATGTCCAGAAAATACTGCATAAATATATCTTGTATTGATTGCTGATTTTTACAAGGATTTTCGAAACAAAAATACCCCTAACTCATGCAGTCATACTTGTGATTAAAATAATAAGTCCTGTTAAATATACAAAATAAATGCTACATAAGATACTATCTAGAATTTTTGTAACATGGCATCTATGGCGAATACTTGTAGATTTCTAGCAAATAGACACTACAAAAAAACACGGGATATGCAGGGATTTTCCAAAATTGGCAGAGATTTTGACAGAGATATGCCAAATCCGTACTAAAAACAGTTTAATATAAGCTATTTGACACGAAATCATCAAATCCATGTCAATTCCATATTGGTCGACATATGTGTATTTTATTAATATTGAGGTACATTTTGATATGATCTATTTTCATTTATCTAAATTTATTAAAGTCTAGCCTAATTGAATCCAAATTTGTTTCATTTGAATTGATGATTTGATCAATGACTAAAGTTAGTCAAAGTAAAGAATTCATCACAATAAAAACTCTCCCAAATCACTTGACTCCTTGTTAAAAACATAGTGACCTTTAATGATAACATGAACTTTATATGTGATACGTGCAGCAAATTATACCAAGTGCTTATTTAATAAATTAATTTGATGACAATAAGTCAAAATTAAAGTAAGTGTGCCTTAACTTCGATCCTAAGCATAAACCACGACTTAATAACGTACACCTTCACATCTGTAAGTTTGAAAAGTCGCATTTCTTGGACCTCTTGTCAACTTATATAATGACACATTCCTTCAAAGCCATTGCAAATTGCAATCGAGTAGACATTAAGGCCCAGTTTAGTGTTGAACAGTTGGATGGGTTGCTATTAATTTGCACAACTTTCTTTTAGCCTCTTTTTTTGTAGTATGTTTGTTAAATAATAACGTGATGTGATTTAAGTCATGACTGTGAAATTATGAAGTCACAAACTCACATAGTTATAGTAATGACTTCTAACCATGTAGTAATGATGATATGAGTTTCTTAGGTGTGTTTGGGAGTTGGGTTTTGGAGGGGAGGGGGAGATTGATGGGTTTATGAACCTCTTTTTCATGTTTGGAAGTTTATAGAAATTGGATGGGTGGTTTTAGAGGGCTATTGTGACCATCCAAAACCCTCTAAATGCTCAATTATGAGTTCCCCCAATTTGGAGGGTATTGAAGGATAATTAACCAAATTGTAATTTAAGCTCAATTAAAAAAAATCAGTTTAATTATTTGAATTCGTCATATCTCAAACTGATTTTAATTATAATTCATTCAAAAATCTTCTTCTTCTAAATTTATTACTCCCAAATACAAAGAAGAGTTTCATCACCCTCCCCTCCCTTTCTCCTCCAACAACATACACATACCTCCAAAGTCTTCCCCTTCCCTTCCCTTTATACTTCTAAACATACCCTTAGACTTCGTACACAATACTACTAATCTTTTGTGTGTGTGTGTGTTTTATGATTTTGAATAATACCTGAAAGAGAACTCTTCCTGTCGGGTACGTCCGCTGAAGAGAATGAACCAAGCTCATCTCTATCATTAGATTTAGGGAGTGTTTGCGATTGCTTGTGCTTTTTAAAAGTGATTTTTTAAGAGATTATTGGAAAAATGATTTGTAGTAAAAGTTGATAGTCTTTGGGAATATAAGTGATGATTTTAATCCAAATGTAAAAGTTGGAGTGTTTGATAAAAAAAATGATTTTTGATGAAGTATTTTGTTAAAGTACAATAATGCCCCTTGTATACATAAAATATTACTAAAAAAGCCTCTCACCAAACCGTGAACTGCAATTTCAGCCGTGAACAGAGAAGAGAGAAAGAGAGTAAAGTTAGCCATAGGTGATTCCGGTGCTTCTTGATACGGCGGGTGCTTGAGATACCATTTGCAATTAGTCACTGTGGCCAAAGTTTTTCTTAAAAAATGGAAGTACATGGGTTCTTTTTTCTAACATTTCTCCTCCATAGATGTAATCAAGCTTATATTTAGGTGTCATAGCTTTGAGAGAGGAAAAGGCAGAAGTCTGAAGGAGTGGGGTATGTCTTGAGAGGCCACGGAGGGGACGAAGCTTGCGAGGAACCCGTTGACCAACTTCATCGGCGATTCAAGTACAAAGGTTGTGGTCTGTGGGAACGAAGGGTAGTTCAGGGGATTAATCAAAATAATAAGGAATATAACTATCCTAAAAGTCGGATTTATTTACAAAAAGCCCTAGAAGCAGAAAAAGCATGTATAACCCAACTTGCAACTTTTAGCTTAAAGTTGCTTAAAATAAGCAGAAGTTTCAGTTTGCAAACACCATTTTTGACTTTTTAGAAGCTAAAAGTAGATAAGTGCTTTTTTAAGCATTGACAAACAATGCCTTAATTGATTTAAAGCTGTGGCTTAAATTTAAATTTATCTCTCAGCATTCCTTTTTATTCCATCGTAAATAAACTCTAACGTTCCTAACATGATTTGGTAATTCAATTTCCACAAAAAATATGTCATCAAGACCTCTAAACTCTGAATTAAATATACACATTGCTTGAGGGTGGAGCAAGATATTATTGGATTATTGTAGGGTAGAAAACAACTTCTTCATTTTTTGAGACTTTATGATGAGGGCTTTAATAGATGCACCTTGCTTGTTGTTACACACAAGTGATTCTGAACTTCCTCAAATCGGTATATTTTAAATATATACTTCACTATTTAAGTAACTGCTGCTTTAATTACATTAATAGCTATAATTATACACATAAAACCGTTATAATATTTAGCTAGCATTAAACCTAATAAATGTGTCATTTATTGTTGTGGTTAAGCTTCTTGGATGCTGTCAAATTCCTGCACCAACACATTGCATGACAATCTGTATGCGAAATTGCGAACTAGTGTTGCACCTCTTATTTTCTATAATGTATTATTGTATTATGCATTGATTTTTTGTCGAAGCCCTCTTTATTACATTTATACACTCCTGACTTTACTAATTCTTCTTTATTTTTTAGTGCAAGGGTTGTAGAAGTCATACATATCATGTTTTCAAAAAAAGTCATACACATCATCTATATGTTCATATATCATCCCAACATTCGATTTTTTATAACATCGAACACTAGGGATAACATTAATGATTGATTCATGATTTGGTTCTTCCATAACTTAGGACACGTTTACTTCACGGGTTACTAAACGGTGCTTATTAAGACCTGCGTTAATAAGTGGCACATAAAATAAGCAATGTTGTAAGATCATGTTTACTTCAAAAGGTTTAAAACACCGTTTAACATTACAATGTCCAAAATAGCCCTATACATATATAGACACACACACATTCATGAACATAAGTATATAATATAATATGTGGGGTCACCTCATACGTGTATCCATACCCCTAACCTCTACCCCGCCCTATACCCCCGTACCCCCATCCCTATCCTTACCTACACCCTACCCCAAATTCCACACTCTTGACCCCTACCCCTACCCTTACCACGTCCTTACCCTCTACCCATACTCCCCTACGACCCATCGATACCACTAAACAACTACCCTACTCGTAGGGATGAGGTATGGTAAGAGGGTACGGGTGGAGTGGGGTTATGGTGTCGAGGGTGGGGTCAAGGTAGTGGAAGGTGGTAGGGGTAAGGGCTAGGGGTGGGAGGTAGGATGTCGGTAGGGTGGGGTCGGGATTGGGTGGGGTCGAGGTAGGGGCAAGTGGTAGGGGGTGGGGTAGGGCAGTGGTTATGGGTAAGGGTGGGGGTAGGGTAGATGGGGTAAGGTAGGGTGTGGTGGGGGTAGGATGACGGTAGCATGGGGTATGGATCAAGGTGGGGCCGATGTAGGGGCATGTGGTAAGGGGGTAAGGGGTAGGATGGTAAGGGCTAGGGGTAGTAGGGTGTGAGTGGGGGGGTAGGATGGTGGTAGGGTGGGGTGGGGTCGGGGTCGTGGTTATGGGTAAGGGGTGGGGATGGTGGGTAGGGTGGGGTTGG